TCTTTTACAGGATGACAGTGGTAACTAAAATTCAATGTAACATAACAATTTTGAAGAATCAATACTCCAATTAAATTAAAACAGAACCAGCTTATGACTTTTTCTGATTATAAACAGGGGTAAAACTCAGCTGAAATGAATGTATTGACATCATTTACATTAGGAGAGATTTTGGCCTTGATTTGCGATCCCAGAAAGAAATGTGGCACTGTATTGTTCTTCCTCCTTGCAGTGACAGAAGCTTTCACAATAAAAATCTATTTTAATTTATGACTTGCCATAAAAGACAGTGCATGACAGGGTACTCTGGTACCACAGTCACTTGCCAGGGACAGAGCAACTATTCATTATGCCTTCTATTGTGGAGTCACTTATCATGTTTCTTACCCCACTGGTCTATCTCATTATTCTCCAGAAAAGCCATTTTAGGAACTGCCAGCAACTTAAATTATAAATGGGTTTATGCCACTTTTGGTTTTGAGCAAGGAGACAGACTTTTGTGAATTAGGAACATGGGGTTGTGCTACTCGGTAATGTGATGTGACACTGAGGCTCATCCAAACAATAAAATATCCTTCTGAGTAGAAATATGAAGTGGCATCTTTATATGTATTTGTTTCCTCAGATGAATTCATGCAGCCAGAAAGACATAACCAGATAATCTGGATCTAGAAAGTGTCTTAGCATTTCATTTCATTTCATCATTTCATTTCATTATTTCATTTCATTTCATTATTTCTTTCCTTTCTTTTTTGTTTTCATTTTTTTTTTTCCTTTTGGTGAATAACAGAAAAGGTCTTGTTCTTGTTGTAGAAAATTCAGGCTTGGAAAGTCCTACAGTTTAGCTCAGGATGAAAATGAGGTATTGTCATTGCACAGCAAAAGGAAACTGGAGGGATGCACTGATCTGTTTTGCAGAAAAAATACTGAGGTCTCCCAGCTCTCCTGGGTTGTTGAATAACTAATACTGGCACTTAGGAGAAGAGATGTGCTCAATTCATGTACAGCTGTGGGAACATAAAATGATTTTTAGTCTGCTGATAATTTAAAATGTGATTAAATATAGTTTTGAGGCTAAGAGAATGTTTAATTTAGCAACAGGTACATTTCTAACCTGATGTCTTGAAAATGTTGAAAGATTTGAAAGCCCAATACAATCTCAAAAGAAAAAATAAAAGTTTATTTTAAATGAGTTATATATCTCAACCGAAATAATTCACTCAAGACATATTTATCAAAAACTTTGTATCAGATTTGCATTTTCTGTTTTGGCAGAAAAATTTTCTTCTCTGTTCTTCTCCAAACTGAAACAATCTCTGATTACAAACTTCTGTACTTATCAATCTCTGTATTTTGCATGTCAATTCTGACAACTTTAGCACATCAAAATGTTGTTCCAATAATTGGATGCCATCTTTTAAATCTAACATCACTTGTCCTAACAAATTGATTTAATATATTACAGTGACATCAGAATAATAAATTCACCTTCAAATGCCGGTTTATGTTTATAGCATGTGTTTTACTAAAAACAAGAAGCTTATAATATTAAGAAATACAGAATATAAAGATATAATTTTTCCTCCCAAATGGCAAAAGTGTTTCTGTTCATTCACAGTGAGGTTCTAGCAAAAACAATTCTGTTGCCATATTTTTTGAGGTTGAACTGCTCTAGACTAGTTTCATATTACTTTCTCCCCAGTGAAATCACAGTTGCATTATCATTTTGGAAATCTCTTTTGCTATCCATAGCAGTAGGAACCTCATTTCCCTTTCTTCTTGAAACCAGAATTCACTTCAGGAGTATCAGGTGAGCCTTCATATTCTCCAGGGAAAGCTGTGTTATGAATTTGGACTGAATTTGTCCTTTATCTCAGCATAGGTCTCTTTTTCTGTTCTTTTACAGTGAGGTTCTAGCAAAAACAATTCTGTTGCCATATTTTTTGAGGTTGAACTGCTTTAGACTAGTTTCATATTACTTTCTCCCCAGTGAAATCACAGTTACATTATCATTTTGGAAATCTTAATCTACCTTAAATGTGAGCACCACAACTATGCTGAATTCTGTGTAATATTGATAGGGTTGATATATTTCAGCAAAGATAATAATAATAATAATAATAATAATAATAATAATAATAATAATAATAATAATAATAATAATAATAAATTTACTAACCTCTTTCATCTGAAATCTAGAAAAATTAACGAATTAATATCACAATTCCCCCACAAGTTAAAATCTTCACAGTAATGGCTTTATTTACTTGCCATCTCTACTGTTGGAGCTATTCACTGATTTAAGACAGCTTCACACCAACTATTTAATAATATGTAACATTAGAAAGCAATTTGTACTGGAAAGTGAAGGATACTGAAGTAGAGCTTATCCATGGGAGTGAACCCAGCAAACTTGAACTGAATGCACCCTAAAAGTCAATTAGTCAAACTTGACTAAACTCATCTGTAGAAGTTCTTATTCAAATGTGCCATAATAACAACTGGAACAGGAGGGAATGAGCCTAGAAAATTCCCAGCATTCCAGCTCACTTCCTGACTGATCACAAGACAATGTGGTGATGGAAATGAGTGGAAAATATGAAATGTTTTTAAGAAAAATTAAAATATCTTGCATAGTTCAAAATTAGATGTGAACATATTTAATATTTTTAAACAAAAGTAAATATTTGTTCAACGTGCAGGGAAAAACTTTTATCTCAAGTGAGAGAATATGCTTTGTTTCACTGTTGCAATGAAACTTCCTGAACATTCCAAGGGCTTTACTATTTTTTATTTTAAAAGTATGTTGAAACACGTAAATGTCACTGAAGTTTCCATTTCGGTAGGAAAAAATATTTTTCTATATGTTGATTTATTTTGTGAAAAAATTTATGAGCCATTCTCAGTCAAAAGATCTTCACTGCATTTCAAGTCAGGAAATATAGGTGGGAATAACACATAAAAAAATTTTCATTTCTTTTATTCTCACAACTGAATAGTCCTAGTCTTATACTGTATCAAATCTGGAGCACTGATCAACTTTTTTTTTTTTTATTATGAGTTAACAAACCATTGGCAGAAAATTGTTGCAGCAAAAAAACCCACCCATAGAAAAAGTCTGTTTGCAAAACCCATTAATTAAATTTTGGCTTTTTTCCTAATGCTTGCTTGTTTCAAAACTCTTTATGAACCTGCTATTATAAATGACATATACTGTTTCTATTTATGCACAAAGCTGAGCTAGAAATTTGTCCTCTTGAAATAATGACCCCAAATATTTAGTAATTAGATGAAATAACTAGTTTTATAATTGAAAAATCTTAGCCCATTGGTCTCATTGGCACCTTTGCTGCACTGTGTCCTATAAGCTGGCTGTGTCAAGAAATAATTCTTTGGCCATTTTGCTGTGCAAAGTCTTTTAGCCAAATCCAGGCAATGCAGAAAAGAAAAGAAAAAAAACATTGCTTTTTAGTAGTCTTTAAAGGGCTTCCTGCAAGCAAGGTGATTCAGCTCAAAATTTGTGATTGGTTAGCCTAAAAACATCTACACTGCAAGAAATGCTCATCTTTACTGTATTTGGCAACAACCCATGTGAGGTTTCTTTGTGTTTTAAGAAATGAGGTATTGCACTATTCTAAAACAGGTGAATATATTTGCTGCAGCCAGTAAAATAGCACAGCAGATGAGAAATCCAGACAAAACCACCAATTTTCCTTTCCACAGGAAAGATAGATGAGACATTTTGCTTTAGCATTCCAAATGCAGCGTTTTCATAATTAAATGCTTCCTATCACTGCTTTTGGGTGCTTTCTGCACTTTTTTCCTGCTAGATGCAGAAAGGCACTGCTCCCAAAAGCTGCACAGATACAATTTTACTTCCGAAGGAATGCCTAAGCTATGAGCAAAGGCCAGTGTCACTGTGGCCTGAGCAGAAATGGCTGTGGTGCAAAGGGAAAAAAAGCAAAGTGGGCATGAAGACAAGAGTGATTTGAGGGTGTGAAATGAGCCTGCCACATCTGGGCAGTGTCCCCACGGTGCTGCAGTCCCTGTGGTGCTGCTGTCCCCTCCTGCCCATTTACAGCATCCCCCAGTGCCTCCTGCCCTGCCCTGCTGGGAGGGAGCTGTGCTGGGTGGCAGTGGGGGCTCAGAGCAGCAGCAGGGATGGGGGTGCCAGGGTTTTGCTCTGAGACAGTCACTGACTCTTGCAGACAGGCTGGCATTGAAAAGAACACTTCAGAGAGCTGTGAAATGCTGTCTGCCAGGGCAGGAGGGAGGACAGGCTGCTCTCCTGTAGAAAGAAATCTTTTGTGTGGGGTGGTCAAGAGGTGCCCAGAGCAAGCATCCTTCTGCTGGGAGTGGGTATGGAACTCTGGCCAAAAGAGAGAGGCACCAAGTACTGAAGCTACAGCAGGATCTTAAAGCACTTTTTGGTGTCTGACTGGGGAGATCTCGTAGTCTGGCTGCAGGTCCATGGCAGCTTTCAAGATCTCAGCCTAGGAGAAAAATTTTCTATGTATTCGCTCTTTTTAGCACTGAACCCAGAGCTGTTTGCCTCCCTGCTCCTCAGCAATGCAGTGAGCAGCAGGATTGCTGTCTGTATGGTGCACTGGGATCCTCCAGGAGCTCAGGGCCACTGGGACAGTGCAGTGCTACCCTGGACCTGCTCTCTGCAAGTCCCTTCTTGTGCACCACAGGCTGCATTCTCTGCTCCACGCTGCTCCAAAAAAAACCTGGGTGAAATCTGAGATATTTCCTTCACCAGCTGCTTTCAGTATGGTCTGTCAGGAAGAGCTGCTTAGAGCTCAAAGGGCAGTGCATGAGCTTGCTTTCCTTGAGATGCCCAATATAAAAAGCCCAGGCAGTCAATCTTCTAATTTCACAGGGATCTGGTTGAAAAAGGGGACAGGTTTTGGACAATATCTTTAATCAATGACTACAGCATGCTTAATGGACTGCACTAGGAAAGTATTGCTGTTATCTTTCTTCTTTCCTCCCTAGCTGTCTGATTTTGGCTCCTGCTGGAGTCTCCTGGACCAAGAGATCCACTGGACTGTCCTCATACATCCATTTTTATGGGCAGTCTCTGCACAAACCCACCTCTGAACTCCATCAGCAAACTATGCTACCAAATGGAGAAACTGAAAATATTGAGAGACCCATAGGTCCTCTTTGTGCTTCTTTAAGTGCCTGTGCTAACACTGGGAGCTGTAAAAGTGCCTGCCTGCAATGTCAAATATCCACATGGTGGTAGAAGACATGTTGTGAGGTAAGAACTTGGGTTATGGCTCTGAAATCTTAGCATGACCTTCCTCCCTCCTCAGATTTATAGATTACAGCTCTGGCAAAGGCAGTGTGCTTGCAATGCTAAAAGACTCTCAATAAAGCTTTTAGCAGCTTGAATTCTGCAGCCAATTTATTCCTGAGTTGAGCCCTGAGTTAGTAACAAAGAAAAAAAATAATGGTTGATTGAGTGAGCATATTGGGCTGTACAAGTGACTTAATTTTCATCACACTTCACTAATGGCAAAATTACATGTTGGAGGTACAAACAGCCTGGGGGAAAAGGAGTGTCTTTATCTAATGTTGCTGTTAGAATGTTATTCTGGGACTCTCTGCACATTGAAAACTGATTACATTTCAGCATGGTACCACAAGCTGTCCTGATTGCAAATTCATACATTTCCCCTACACAAAATAAATAAAGACTCCTACTTTCACAGTCGTTGAGAATCCAGGCATTTTGCCCACTCCTGCTCCACACTATGAAGCAAAATGCTTCAACTCTTTCAGCAGTGAGAGATGCCAGGCCAGTCTGTGTTTCAGTGTTCTCTTTTTCTGTTTCTTCTTCGAAAGATTTGTTATGAAATCATAGGAATAGAATCCGGGAGACTGGATTTGAAATTTTAGCTATGTCACAGGATTGTCAATGAATTTTCAGAGAAATTTTGGTCTCTGTGTCTGTCTTCTGTCTCTTTGGGTAGAGCTACTGGAGATTTTAGGACTAATTTTATTTTAAAATGTTGTCTTATTAAGATCAATTTTTCAACGACAGCTGTTAGTAATTTTGACACACTAACTAATTTTCTAGACTTTCAAAACTGAAAAAAAATGCGAGTTTTTTAATTCTCTGGGAAATTCTGACTGTACTCACATATGCAAATTCTAAAGGACCAGGGAATGTCCCTGTCCACTGGAAATCTATTGACTGTTGACATTTTGCAATGTGGTTTTGCTTATGTTTTTGCAGTTTCAAACAAGGCAGTGTTAGGTAGCTGGCACATGCTAGAATGCATTAACAGCAGGCAGTTTGTGTGGGGCTACTCTGGTTTTGGATGTTAAAAGTGATTAAGAGCACAGATGGAGTCCAGTCTGTGAGAACTGGCTTCAATGGCAAGGAGTAACTCTGGACACATTTAATTTACCAGTGAAAATCTAGTCCTGTTTTTTTTCCACGGCAAATAATTTCTTTTTAATTCTTGAGTGACAATCAAAAAAAGGAGAATAACAAATGTAATTTCATCTAAATTGAAAAAAGAGTTTCAGCTGGTCCAAATGGCACTATTCTCAATTTTCTGCTTGTAAAATTTGGAAAAAATTAAACTTCCAATTCCAGTTTTTTTCCCTGAAGCTAAAAAAAACCCTCAAAACTTTAAAAAGTATTGATGAAGGGATGGAGTTTGGGTGAGTTAAACTGATAACTGAAATGACCCCACCTGTCCATACACAAAGCACTGCCTACAGTGCCAGCAAGTCTTCCATATCCCACCTTTCTTGTCTGAGAAACTATGTGACTCAAACTTTATTTAGAAATAATGAATTATTAAATTTATTTTATTTGGTGTTTTTTTTTAAAGTTCGAGTTCTCTGAGTCCTTGAGCTGAGTTTCCTTGAATATTTCAGTGAAAACACTTCAGGATGTCCACAGTTTTAAAGCAAGTTGAGGGAACCAATATGAATATGAAAATATTATTTTATTTTTTATATATAAAAAATATTAAAAATTCCCAAGCATTAGCAATCAGACTGAGAAGTAGACATTTGGTTACTAAATTTAGATTCAATATTAAAACTATCAAGCAAATATTTGGAATTATATATTCTCTCAGTAAAGGGAAAAAAGAATCACATAAACTAAATAATATACTAAACAGAACATTAATTTATTAGAAATATTTCAAAGTCTTCTAAATGTATTATTGTCCCATAATTTGCTTTGTTTTTTAATGTCAGCTATATTCTGAGTAGCTCCTCTTCTCCACTGCTATTTGCCTCCCAAGGCAAATGTTGGGAATCTCTCCATACATTTGGTTACTAAATTTACTTCTTTTCAGCTAAATACAATCTCTTTTATGAGGCAAGCCAAACATCATGTTATGTTTTCTAATTTTTAATTTCTGAAATATCTTCAGGCCAAGATAGGGAATGCACATCTTCTCTTTTCCAGGTCATCCTTATAATCCAATAACTTTTTAAGTTTTCCAGAGTTGTGCTCAATCTCCCTGGAGGAGTTTCAGATAAGCAGAAAAACTACAGGGCAGGAGAAATCTCTTTCCTAGGAAAGTGTATGGGGTGACAGTAGTAAAATGACCCATCTTACAGAACACCACACAACAGGATTCTGATCTTCATTTTAAAGTACTACTTTAAAACAAAAACTTATACAATACATGAATATTGAATTCATGAACCTTTGAATAATGGAACCTTTAAATGTGGCATTTGGGCAGTTGTCACAGAGGACAGTAATGAGCCCTTATTTAACTTGAATGGCTGAACAGTTGCTGCCCTCATTCTGCCTATTAGCTCCAAGTGAAATATTTTTACTTTAGCTCATTTTCTGCTAAACTCCACTTTGAAGTGTTTTTGGTTAAACTGTAATTCTCTGGATGTCAAAATACATCAGGACTAGGAGAAAAAAGAAGAGCTAAAGTGATGAAATAATTTCACTTGAAATCAACGAACAAAAATATACAGTAAATGTTTTAGCTACATTTCAGAAATAGCACAAACCCACGAGGGACATCAGGGTTTGATGAAAATGTATAAAATTAAAGTAAAGAGCCTGAGGCAGTGGTTGCCTTAGTACCACGAGGCTGCACATTGAGATAGTTCAGAGGTTTGGGGCAAGATTTTCATCAGAAAAATGTCAGTTCATTGGGGCTGAAACTTTTCACACGAATGTATTGGTCATGATGAAATTTCCACTGGGAGAGGTGTCTAATCTCAAATGCAGACTTTTTGCAGAAAGGAGAATACATGAACCACCTCAAACATCTGAATACTGGGGAATGTTTTACAGATTCATATAAGCTAAATGGAATTGTAAACACTGTTGGAGCTTGGACAAATGCACTCTGCAGTGTGTTGCTTTCCTAACCTGGGTGCTGAGGCATCTCAAGCACTGAAGGATTTTGCTCTTGGAGGCTTTTGCCTGGTAGCTGAAACAATTTGATTTGGAGGAATGGAAGTAAAAAACTGAAAACTGGGAGCAGGGAGCAACAGGTGAATTTCAAGTGAAAGAAAACAGGAGTGGAACAAGAGTAGAGTCAGACCCACCCCAACAAGAGAAGTACCAAAAGTGGAGATCACTGAATGTTTGTCATAGGAATGAACATATAGTGTGATCTTTTTGAGTGATCTCACAAGGATTTCATCTTCATTTTTAAATGACTTCTGAAATGAATAAGAAACATGCAAAAATTATGAAATTATATATTATTTAAAAGATGTATTTTTCTACATATTTGCTAACAGACTTCAGGGCCTTCTATTTTGAAATGTTGTGTATAAGAATCAAGATAGTCTCTCTAGTGGAAAACTTTTAATATATGTTTAGAAAAAAGTGTTATAGTGGCATTCAGTGACTTATGCAGGAAATTATTTTGTTGAGTAGAAAACCATCCTTCCACTTCAACCTTACTTTCAGTGTGACTGTGTGCAAGAGACCAAGGCCCTGTGACTTTATGATTTCAAGTGACATTGGGCATGTGGTGCTGAAAATTAGATCTTTTGCAGGTCACTTGATCCCCCAAAGACTCACAACTTCCTTGTAGCATTTGTTACATTTCTGTGTTCTTCCCATCTGGCTCAATGGTCCATCACCACATGAGATTTAATGTATTTTTACAGCCTATATTTGTTGAGAGTTGTTTGCTGTTGTTGTACATCGTGTATTTCTGACCCCTTGGCTTTCCCAGCCTTGTGCTGTAGTGGCTCTGGGATCAAGCTGTGTTTGAGGAAAAACACCACACAGATAATCTAAGCTGCCTTCCATCATGTCAAGATAACAGTCACCTGGGAGGAGACATTTTTAGAGTTAATTAACCCTAATTGTGACTCTCCCCTCCTCTTTTCAACCTCATCTCTCAATGGATGATATGTTTATAAGATAACAAATATCATCTATATAATAATCTATGTCAATAATGACCATGAAAAATAAAAGTTAATTAACTTTTAACGGTGACATTTACTTCTGTAAGTAACTCACAGATTTTCAGCCTATATACACACTGTTTATATATTTCTGTAAATAAAACATGGCACTTATGCTGTTCTATTTAGAAATCTGACAAGATTCTGGTTCTACCCCTCACCAGATTAGCATCAGTAGATTAATTCCTCTGTTGAGGAAAACAACTCATATCTTGAAATTAAATGAAAATATCCGTGTTAAACATAGATAGCAAGGACAGAACTGAAAGCTGGCAGAAAGAACCAGATAGATATTACCAGTGATAGCTGGTACAAATGTAGAATACAAAACTTGCATGACTCTTCCACTTATGTTACTGATGGAAATTTTAAACAGCACTTATTAAACTTCTCTTAAAAGAGGACAGGTATTTTTTTTCTCATTCATCCTCACATGGTGATGCCCTGTTGAGGAGCCTGTAATGCACTTTTTACTTTTCCTGTGATTTGTAGCTGGCTGGGCAGCAGCCCTTTATTCTGTTATGGATAATCTTTACTCAGAATTCCCAGATAATCAGCTCTCACTGCCTAGCTGATTGCATTGATCTTGCAATCAATCTTGTAGTTGTTCTGCTGCAGCTATAATAGGGGAGTGAATCATCCCTGGCTTTTGGATCTGTGTGTATCCTTGGACACATTTCCATGCTTATTCTCTCCTTCATCCACTACATGTGTGCACATGACCAAAAGCATCTTTTATGTTTGATTAGATCGGGCAGAGAACTAAAACTTTTTCTTGTAGTGTTCCCTATCTGTTAATTGCCTTTGGATGAGTGTGCTTCCTGTAAGTGTTTTTGCCAACAGCCTCGTGAAGCGCTGAACTTCAGCTTTGCTGCTCACATCCAGAATGTTCTCCCAGGGCTCTGCATTGACAGGCAGTCTGCCTTCAGCTCTGAGCAAAGGGCAGCATATATTTGCTTTTCCCCAGAAGCAGAACAAAGATCAAATTATAGCCACTTTTCAGTTTATTTGGTTGCTCCCTAGGGAACCCAGCTGAGCTTCAGTTTCTGAGCAAACTCTGCCTTCTCCCTGCCCCTCCAAACAGGAGGCAGAGACTCAGAGACATTTACCACTCATGAAGATTTCTGCTCCTTTATTCCCCTATTATCTACACAGATAGATTCACAAGTGGCCCTCAGTTTTCATACCCACTGAATTACTTTTCAGACCTTACAAATCCTGGGACACAGGAGGAATTGAGAGGATGGCTTCAGGATTTGTGGGAGCTGCTGCAATTCTGCAGCTCAGCTTCCTCCATCATCCATGGAGCAAATTCCTTGCCCACCCTCAGGAGATAAAACACCTTTCTGGCACCCAGACCTTGCAGCTCCCATGGGTCACAGCTGGTTCTGTGATGTGTGCTTTGAGAAGGATTTTTGCTTTAATATCCATTTAATGAACAATATCAGCTTAAATGAAGCCTCTCTCATTCTGCTGCACACATTTAATTGTGGCTGGTGCCTTCCATTTGCTTAATTTGCTCTTAACTTGCCCAAATGTTTTGCAGTTTGCTGACATGGAAATAGTGGAACTCATCCACTTTGAAGAGCAAGGTTGCTTTGTGTTACATGCAAATTCCTATTTGTTTAATTTGTTATTTATTTAGTTCTTATTTCATTTTTAGTATTGTGTCTGTGCTGCCTGTCATATGTCTAATCTCCTTGTTTTTCAAATTTGTTATTTAAAGAAAAGAAAACTGGAAAAAACTTCTATTACTTTACTGGCTTTAAAACACATTTGTATTTTGAAACAGTCCGTAAAAAGCATATCCACATGCTATTCTTTAATACAATATTTTTTTCCTCTACTCTTGATGTGAACAGGTTTCTCTTACTAAAGTCTCTGTACATGGCAACTAAGCTGTTGTTAGAAAATAAAACATTGAATCATTTCCTTTGGGGAAAAAAATAGATCTCAGTGTTCTGTGGACTTCAAAAAACCTGTATAAAGAATAGACCAGACTTTGTTCTGGCCAAGCTATAAAAATCCTTAAACTAAGTCCTTTTTTAGTTGAGCATCTTCTAAGCCAATATCTTAAACTAGAACCATGGCATATACATCCATTGAGTAGCACAGATGGGTTTAAATCCATCAGGCTCTGAAGACCTGTCTGTGCTCAATTTCTATTTCTAAGGTGGAAAAGCAGATCCACCTCCACGGGCTTTTCTTTGGCCAACTCCAGTGTATTGGCAAAAGTCTGCATATAGGATACAACTGCCACCAAGAGATTGCAAAAAAAAACCCCAAAAAAACCCCAAAAAAACAAGCAACAACGTTATTCAGTCTTTTTTCCTCACAATTATTTAAGATTTAACAAGTTCTGTCAGGTAGAACTAATTATTTAAGATCTGAAAAGTACTGTAAGCAACAAAGCTGTGTGAATAAAATTATGAGGCACGTACGTGCTCATGCTCCCTGCTGATGGGACCCGAGTCATCACAGGTTGAGGTGTACTAATTAATCCCAGCTAAAGGTTTGTCCTCTCAATTAGCAGCCCCTTAGATAAGCTGTCTGGTTGATCTACAGCTGCCTGGTGGGAAATCCCCAGGTTGTGCACGTTTTATGATTTTGGTGCCCTAGGCCAGTTGCAAAGCTATTTCAAGGAGAGGAGCTGATCTGTTTTGCAGTGTAATCGCTGCTCCAGGGCAAATCCCATCAGGTGGCTGCAGCAGAAGCTGGAGTCAGCATCCAAAGGATGAGGAGATATGTGCCATCAGCCTGGCACACGGCAAATTCCATCTCTGAACCACATAAAATCCCTCTCATAATGTTGGTATTTCTGGAAACCTGGTGAAGGGTATTTGTATTCTCATGACTGTCAGGGAAAGTGTTTCTTAAGCTGTCTTAAGATCCATTTTGAATTACAGCTATAAAATATATACCTGAGTATAAACATCACACACAGTATGAACCAGGACTGAAGAGCCTCTGTAACCCTTTAGTTATTTAACCCTAATAACCCTGTAATTTCCTAACATAAAAGTACCACACATCTCTGGCCAAGGGTGATCACAACATGCCAGCAGGGGAGGCAGCAGGGCACATAATTTATATGGGAGTGTAGGGGCCCAGCTGAGGATACTGAACTTGAGTAGGGTTTAGGTGTGTCAGTCTGCCTGTTTATTTTTTTCTCCTCTCCAGTTTTCTCCTGTTTCTCCTGGGCATCATTATTACCCTTCATTTCTGTCAGTGGCTTCATGGAAGAGTGCACTTAGCCTTGGGATATGACACACACAGAAGCAGTGGAGCTCCCTGTTTACCCAGGCTGAGACAAGAGGCCAGACCCTGTGCCTGCTGAATTCACCCTCTAGAAACTGAAGCCATAAATGAGAGTGAAATTGAAGAGGTGAAATGGAGAATGCTTCGCTGAAATCTCACTTGTGACTCTCTCCCTCCTCAGCACTCATGAATGGAGTCTGAGCTTAACATTTCTTTACTCCAAGCCCCAGCTGCCACCAAGAGACCAAGGCATAAGAGCACTGGGATTAACCTGTATCCTTTAATACTTTAATACTATCCTATTAGCACAGTGCTTAAACATGCTGGGGAATTTAAGGATGATTCAAATTGCACACTTCAAGACTTTTGGCACTTGGGAAGAAAATAAAGTTTTTCACTAATGGGGCACATTTCTTGTCCCAGCTGTACCTTTGTGACTTGCACACTCTGGTAATGTAATGGAGGGGGCTGCAGAGCCTCCAAGGGATTTTTAATTTTAAAATGGATGGCAGATATCCATTCACTAATAAATCATCTGCAGCAGTTCTGCAGGAAAGAAAATAAAGCTCAAGGCATCTAATTTTGGTCTTGTGTATTTTTCCCACCCTCTGGGTTCATAGAGTTAGCAGTTGTTTAAAGAAGGGGTGGGCAGGTGATCCAGCCACATTAATAGTTGATACGTGTTATTTATACAAATTTCATTTTAATTCAATTCCTAGTGAGTGATGTATCAGTCAATACATTTTGGTTTTTTTTTTTTCTGAGGATCTTGTTCTTGCACTTCTCTTTCATGGCACTGCTTTCTTTTGGCCAAGAAAACTCATATAGATTTATTGCCTTTCTCTTTTCTGTGCAAGCTTGCCTAATAAGACCACTGCAGTGGCTGTGGGCTGTGAAATTAGCCCATGAACTTTTTGTATCCTTGGCTGTCTGTCTCAATACCCCACAGATCACCCTGATAAGAAGAACTGTGGCCATATCTGTCTTTTTTATTATAGACTCTTGTTGGTGTAGGTGGCAGACTGATGAAATATAGCTGGGGGGGTTTCCTCTTCACATTCAAATTTCTGTGCATTTCTTTCTTTCTCTTTTCATTCAGTGGGGTATGCACTAAAATCAACCTAAAATCAACAGTTACAATATACAGTTACAATATACACAGGTAAAGCATAACTATGCTGTGCCTATGGCTTTTTGGATGGTACTGCCAGAGTAATTTCAGTGTCTCATGGCAATAACACTCATTTGCATAAAAGCCAATTTTATATCTACAGTCTGGTTGTGGCCAAAGAAATAAAAGAGAATTAATGGGCTTAGATTCAATGGAGTGATAAATACTGTCAGTAAAGTGATTTATTGTCTATCTACTGATGATTTCAATTAATCTACAGGTGTTTTATATACTTGGAACTTGTTCTTAGCACAGATACTGGGTGTAAGTTCATGTCCTCATCCTGCTGTATATCACTCTCTCAGTTCTTATATGGCAAATAAAATGAAGTGATACCTCTGCACTAATGACTGGGGCACCAGGGCTTTACTAAATTTAGATGTCTGGACTCTACATATGCATATGTTTATACCTTATTTACTTCAAACCACCCCCAAGTGTCCTTTTGTCTGCATGTGAGTGCTGAGAGATCTCTGTCTCCTGATTTGCATGTATGCTTTGTGCCAGACAAGAGGATTAACATATGATCATGGGCAAGGAGAATCAATCCATTTTAAAATTATGTTGCCTGTTATTTTTTTGAGTGAAAGAGTGAGTTCTGTAGGATTTTTTACCCCTGACTACTGTATTTTGGACAGTTACTCTCAGGTTTTAGAGATGGTACATAATGTCTATACAGGGAACTTGACTCTCTGATGGCTGTTTGCATCACTTGGTGGCACCTCTATTAACCAGACTCCTACTGAGTAAGAGGACATCCAGAATAACTTTTCATGTCAGACTGATGGAGTGAGGATGGATGCTTTGTGCTGCAGGCACTGGCCTGGTGTTCAAAAATTTGGAGCTCAGTTCCTGGCATTGTCACACAGTCTATGATGGTAGGTGAGAGGTTTAGGGCCACTTTTTTTTTCCAGTGCCTAAACTACCAAGTGAATATTTACTGGCACTTTCAAAAGCAGCAGGGAATTGGCTTGCATGGGGCTTTTTAACATTTCCTGGGAGCTCGGAATAGTCCTCCACCAAGGAGGACTGCATGCCTCAAGTCACCCAGGCAATGGGGTCGCAATGTTCATACCAAAAGGCATCCAACACAGTTTTCCTATATCCTTGAGTTTCCCTCATGAGGCAAAAGCCATTAAAAACATTTTGTTTCTCTATGCTGATGTGACAGGTGAAGACCATTTTCATTATTTTCCTACATTTGACACTCTCAGACTGCTAAGAAAAACAACAACAATAATAACAGAAATAATAGCCTTTGTTTTTATGCTAAATAATCACAGTAGAATCAATTTTATTGTTTCTTTATTACCTTGAAGAGTTTGCAAGTAACTGCCTGGAGACGAGAGGGAAGTTCTCCCTGCACAGGGCAGGCAGAACTCCTGTGCTCCCGTTCCTGGCTGATCTTGCAGGGATTGGGGATTCACCTCACTGGGGCTGTCAGAGCCGTGTTTGGGCAGCCAGTTCCACATCTGAGGCTGCTGTCAGCTACACTGAAGTGGTTGCTGAAATTAGATGCCTGAGAACCCACTCAGCCAAGACGTGCCATCTGCTTCCTGGTGACTGACAGCAGAGAAATCTCCCCCGCTCCTGCCAGCGGAATTCTCCCTTTCAAACCATGTTCTGCAGCGCCAGGATCACTCCCTGCCATGTCATTAAAGCTGGGAAGGACTCAGACTCTCTGTTTCTCTAGCAATCATACAATTTTAAATTTTGTTCTTTTGGTCCAGAAAAATTTGAGCAACCCAAGTATGTCTTTCTCATTTTCCATATCTAAGTTTTTGGAATTTTTTTTTTATTGTTCAAGGAAAATGTGTGATTTTGAAAAGCAATTTGAATTAAAAACAAAGGTTTCACATTAATGGAATCACAGTGCTTATTCTTTCTTCTAAATGATGGGGGGAAAGGTTTTTCTTTAGTGTCTTCTTATGCAAAATATTTAAACGCAAATATTTACTCAGTTCTGACTGCTGTTGGTTTGTACTTTTCTGCTTCAATGGTTGTGTCTGCTGTGTGAATTGTTAATATAGTGAATGTCATTTGGTCAAAAATAGTAAGTAATATTTTATTCATTTCTATGGATTTTTAACAGAAAATATATAGCACAGAATAGCCTTCTGCTTGCAGAAATCACTTAACTTCTGTCAGTCTCCAGCACCCCAAGAGAGGGACTGACTGCCCATCTGGAGCTCAGCTCTTATCAGATTTCTGAAAACCAGAATATGTCAGCAGTCCCAAACTGGGAGCTTAAGAGTGGAATCACAGAAACACCTTGTTTCCTCAACCAACACCTGTTTAACAAATTTATGACATGGATACCAAATGGGGCATTTTTCAGCCACAGCTGAAGAAAATCAAATTGCAATCAGATGCCAAAGAGATGGAGTCACTCCCTCCACGTCCCTCCTGCTCTCCATACCTGTTTGAATACTCCCACCTTTTCCCCTGCACTGGGACTGGGAGTTTGCTTCTGCTGGTGAGCCAATTTCAATGTCTAAAACAACAGAAATAAAATTGTGATGTGTTTTGGGTTTTTTTTTTTTGTTTTGTTTGTTTGTTTGTTTTGAGGATGTAGTACTTTGAGGCTTTTTGTAAGCTGGGTGTAAGTTGCTATAGTTATTTAGCAGGGTGAGAGGTTGATTGCTAATGCTGCCTGCCTGTTCTGTTCCTTCACTTCTCCTCAGCTGTGTAGCACAGGTATTTTTGCATCCATGCCTTGAACTGCCTCAAGGGATTGGAACAGGTTTAAAATAGCTTAGGAAAAATGGCTTTTATTATTCTGGATCAGTTCTTCCCACAGTGTCACAAACAATTTTACCAGGATGCCTAAAGGGAGATGTTGGAGGGAGCTGGGTGGTCAAGAGAGGGAGAGGAGAAGGGCACAGGCTGCCAAAACAAATGGATGTCAAATCTGCCCTTAGCACAGTCTTGAATACCCACACAGGGCAGTAAAGAGCTGATATGACACAAATTCACAACCCAGCTTGGTGTGCAATTCCCTCTCAGTGTAGATGCAGCCTTAACTGCTGTGATGATAATAAAAAGATTCACTGATGGAGCCGCTGTGAAGCACTTGAAAGGATTTGCTGTCATTCAGAGCATCTGGAGCAAGAAGCACAAAGGAGTCTATGCTAATGTACTGTTATGAGCTCTGTTCTTTGGGATTTATTTATTTATTCTCCCCTTTAAGACAAAACTTGCAGCTGCAAGGAGCTGAAGTGAGGACTTAAAAATAGAAGGAGACTAAGTGTATTACACAAAATAACCTCTGAGTAGAGTTACATCTGGCTGTGCCTTTGCAGTCTATTCTGTGTTTAAGAAAATATAGATATTTAAAAAATATATATTTTTTGAAACTTACAGTATTTTCAGCCTGAAGTTTCTGTACATGACTTATTATGAAGCATGACAGCGAATCCTATACAAGGTCTGATGAGTTTTATGAATATGTAAGAGCACATATGGAAAATGACTGGAAGTAGTCTTGGTTTAGAGCTCCTAGGAGCAAACATGTGTCACTGGGAGTCTCTAAGCATGGGCAGCACCTCTTAGGTTGCTACTGAAATTCCCTGTATATCATTTAAGAGAGTTGTTTCACTTGAATCTGAAATGGCTTTGATGTCTCAGGAAGTAGATGCAGGTAAGGCACTTTATTCACTTTATTCAGTGCCATCAGCAAGACACAGGGAAGTTGCCAAACTGATGCTTGAGGTTTCTCTCTCACCCTTTGCTAAGTGAGTTTACTACTTTCACATGCTTAAAAAAAGATTTTTATTAATTTTTATGGGTGCATATTTAATACTTGTGCTCCCCAAGACTTGCTCATGGTCAGTTGCTAATTGGATGAATTAGTTTTCCCACTCTGTGGTCACCCTCCTCTTTGTTCTGCTTGTATATTTTCTCAAGCATCTGTCCCTCCAACACAAACTGCTGGGAGCTGAAAATCAGTTGTGTCAGCTGCATCATCTGCAAATCTGTCCTAATGAAATTTGGCAAAAGTGGTCAAAGTTGCTCCAGACTAAATGAAACTGCCACATGTTTTTGACAGCTGCAATGACAGTCCAGCACATTTCTCATAGCTCAGGATGGCATGCATCATTAGATTTACAGAATGGGAAAAAGAAGCCTCTGCTAGAAGCTACTGCCCTTTAGGCTTTCACATTATTTTTTCAGTTTCCTTGAAATTCAAATAAATTAGAGGCCTTGAAAGATCAACCATGAGCAGGTATAGTTTGTCAGCTATTAAAAAAATAAAAGGCAGAAAAAAAATCCAAAATAGGTGGTATATTGCTCTTAAAAAAAAAAAAATCTGTTGTATTTAATTAATTAAATTTAATTAAATAAATTTAATTTCTCCAGAGCAGGAAAAAGTCACTTGAGGACTTTCCTT